GGAAATTAGGACCACTCTTAAGAAACTAAGAACAGCTATTTAGGATAAGCTAAATTGAATATATAATTGTTTGGGGGAGGATTCAATCACATTTAGATTTATTTTAGATACGGCTTTTTCCCCCTTTCTTAATACCTGTGGGTCTGTGCAGCATGTAAATTTTAAAAACAGTAATTCTTAAGTGTTAGCAATTATGTCTAGGTAAACTCATTGGGAATTTTTATGGTTGAGATTCTTTTATATTTTATAATAGCTGTCTCTTTGACTTGGCAAGAATGATCAAGTGAAAGAATCCAGTTTTAGGCTTTCCATTTATTTTATATCATTTTCAGTTTTAGTACTTTCCTTTGACATTAGAAAATGTAAGCAGTAAGGTAGTGTATGTCATTTATTTCTTGCATTTTGCTGAAGTTTCTGGCTCTCTGATCTCTGATCAGAGTTGCTATGTAGGAAGTAGGTAGTCCACTTGAACCAAGAATGTAGCACTTCATCTTGCTTTATTCCCAGTGACTTTCAAAATGAAAGCTAAATCAATATATTATGTGTGGTTGATGATATTGGCTATAGAGCACCAGTTTAAAGTTATGGAATAAGTATAAAAATAAGGCATGCTTTGGGCCCTCCCTGGTGGTGCAACAGGTTAGGACACAGCACTGCAAGCTGGCTGCAGCTGCTTCAGTGTAAGTTGGATCCCCACCCCAGAGGTGACCCACATGGCGCGGCAGACCTCTCCTGACCTGCCTGCTGCGCCCCTCAGCAGTGTACTTTGTCCATCCACCTGTTCTGTACCCCCACTCTATCTTTGGTGAAGCCTCTCACCACCCCTGCACCTCTTGCTTGTACCCCAGTTCTATGTGCATAAAAAATCTTTAGGCCCTCCGTGGTGGCGCAGCGGGTTAAAGCACTGCACTGAGAAACTAAAGCCACTTCCGCATGAGTTCGATCCCCACCTGCCCAGGAGGTGACCACATGGCGTGGCAGACCTCTCCTGACCCGCCCGCTGCTCCCCTCAGCAGTGTACTTCATCAATCTGCCTGTTCTGCTTCCCGCTCTGTCTCTGGTGAATCCTCTCACCCTCTGCATCTCTGGCCTGTACCCCAGTTCTGTATGAATAAATAAATAAATCTTTAAAAAAAAAATCTTTAAAAAAAAAGTTACTTTTTTCTTCATTACTTCTTAACTATCTGCAAGAACTGTCTTAAGTTGTGAAAATTGACATAAGGTTAACATAAAAGAAATTGTAAAATAAAAAGAATAGCAGCTAGAACTTTTCCATCATGTCAGTGACTTTCAGGCTTCCACCAGAACCTCCTCATTGTTTTGTTACTTATACTCAGACAAACCCTATTTAGTGTTAAGGGCTCTTGTTACTGAGATCTAGGTAGGCACCTGTTCCTGACCAGAGAGCCCTGCTTACAGCAATCCCAGGGAATCATCCCCTGAGCCCTTGAGCCATGGGCTCTGTCTCTGTGGACACAGTCCATTAGGAGCCAGCTGTGGTGGTGAACAACCCAGAAGACTTTCTGGGACTTAGCCATTCCCACTGTTGATAGTCCTTGTGGTTTTTTTCTTTGTCAGGAATTGGTTTACCTTTCGTGGAGGTCTATAGTCCCCACTAGAGGTCACCCATGGTCAGGAGTTGCTTGGTTACCCAGTGATCAATGTTTGCAAGCTTCCTTCAGTACTGTAGAGAACTCTTTTCCCCAGGGCTGTGTCCAGCCTCAGGAGAGTAGTAACTGTGTGTTTTTGTTTTCATGGGTGGGGGGTGGGTGGGGGTGGGTAGAAGAAGTGCTGGTAAATCAAACAGCTTGTAAGTAGCTGAACTCAGTTCAGCTCCAGATATTTCCTGGCTGGAGTAGCCAACCTCTTTGAACAGCCTTTGGCAGGAGCAGACTGCCTCCAGAGTGTTATACACTCACCTAATAGTAACCCCTCTCAGGAGAGTCAGATTATAATACGCCTCTCTCCCTTCTGCTTTCCCACCTTGAAAAGCAGCCATCAGTATGCTTCGCGAAACTCATATCCATTCACAGGGAAACAGATTCTGCATTCTGTAAATCTTGAAAGATACACGCTCACTGTTTACACTTACACATTAGTGCTTCTATCTCCACTTGTTGATTGGTTCTTGTTATGCATTCCCAGGACATTCACCCAGGCGATTCCACATGCTTTATCTTACAAATTCTTCTATAAATAACCCTTCACTTTCCTGGCTGTCTGAGGGACCTAGAAAGGTGACTCCATGGGGAAGATGGACACCTTCAGACACAGTAGTCTTTCATCAAAATCGTTAGGCCTTTATATGATCTAGTATTTGCAGTACTAGCCATTTATCCCGGAGAAAGGAGGACTTATATTCACATAAAATTATATGCCTGAATGTTTTAGAAGCTTTAATATAATGCTTCAAACTGGAGAAAACCAGATGTCCTTCAATATGTGAACAATTAAACAAATTGTGGTACTTCCATATTTTGGAATATTACTTGGTGATAAAAAATAGACTATAGTTATGTGTTAGTTAGCAATGTTGCAGTCAGTTACAGAAGGAAGCAGATATGATAGTGGTCCTGATATATGACTAGATATGTACTATACTATAACATCGAGGTGTTTGTAATTGCTTTCTGAACAATGACAAAATTATCCAGGTGAAATTTCTCAAAATATATCCCTGTCATTAAGTCATACATGGACTGTATTGATATAGGCAATAATTTGGCTGAATCTCCAGAGAATTGTGTTGAGTAAAAATAACACCAACAAAAAAAATCCCAAAATGTTTATAACATTCTTGAAATGACAGTTCCAGAAATGAAGCAGTGGGATTGTAGATGGGAAGAAGTACATATGAACAACAGTTAATATGGGTCCTGATTTTTATCACTTTTATAACTTTTTGATGAAGCTCTCAATTATATATTTAATGGGTAAGGTCTAATTGAGGTTTTGAGAATTTTCTTGGCAGGTTTCTAGTAATAAGAACTTAAATACATGTATAGTACTAAGTTTTAGGTCGCATAAATAAGCCTGTGGTTTGATTATGTGCATTTTTTTATGGAATATTGTATCAGAAGAAATGGTAAGAGCAGTCTTTCTTGTGCATATGAAGGAGCAATTGGATTATGTGGGGGAGGCATAATTATTTATAATTCTATCTGAAGGTGAAAAGCAAAACTTGTCCTTTATTTAATATTTGCCCTGTCTCCTTTGCACCATTACAACATTGAAAATGAAAACCAGAGCATATGTCAGAGTAAGGCTTTGTCACAAAGACTCAATTGCAGTGGTCAGGACAAGAAAGAAAAAGTACTTGGCTCTGTGTGAACTACGAATATTTGTTCAATGAAGTCAATTAAGTGACTCAGCGGTAGGAAGTTTACCTAAGTTGGTAAACTTCACTTCCACCTAGCATTGATAACCTTTTGGGATGAAACCTGACTTACATGTTGCTCATGCAGCTTAATTATTTCGCTGTTGCAATTTACTTAAAGGAACTTGATAACGTAAATCACCTGTGAAAGGTTAACCTGAATTTCATCCTGAGCTATAGATTTGGGACTTTCGCATTCTATTCCACCACTTAGCACCCTACTTGTCACATGCCAAGGCGTGTTTAATCCACCAACCCTGACTCTTTGTGGTCCATACTGCCTGTGCGTAGCTTCAACTTTTGTGGCCCCGCATAAGAAGAATGCAGTGGGACAGACGGGATACTGAGGGGCAACCCGAATGGGTCCCCCCAAAGCTAAGGTGAGACAGGACTTCCTGAAGAGCAGGGTCAGGCATGTGGAAACTCTGCAGATAAATTTGAATTAATTTTTCTTTCACATGGAAAGTAAAGTAGGGAATGATCTCAGGTGGAGTTTCAAGTAACAGCATTCACACACCTTGGAAATGTTTATTTGTTAATGTATCATATTTGATTTAAATATAAGTACTGATTGCTTTTACATTTCCTTCGCCCCCACTGCAAATAGCATTTTATTTCTAAAAATGCTTTTATGTGCTAATCTGTGATCTAGCTACCATTTTTAATGTGAAAAATACGTATTCTGAATATTAGTGACTAGAGTGGATTTTCAGGGGCCTGTTTGTTCCCTACTAGAAGACACATGATTTGATCCTTTTTCTTTTTATCTTTCTGACCATCTTTTCTTGTTTATAGGCAACAGATTGCACCTTACTTAAGTACTTCTGTTCTCCACTACTTTAACTCTCATCATTTTTTTTTATTACAAAAGTTTATTTTTACATCATTTTGTACATTTTTTTTCCATCTCAATTGTAATCCCTGCGGGTTTCCCATCACCAAGTCACCCATGTGCCATCACCATAATCCCATGCATTTCCCTCCCCCCATCCTGTTTTTGATCCCATTCCCCACTCCACCCCCACAAAATGTCTTATTTTTGTTATTTTCCACCTGGTCCATTATACTCCTGCTATGAGTGAAACCATCCGGTATTTTTCTTTCTCTTTCTGGCTTATCTCACTAATCATGATCTTTTCCAGCTCCATCCAAGTTGCTGCAAAAGACATGTGTTTCTCTTTTTTGGTTGCTGAGTAATATTCCATTGTATACATGTACCACATCTTTTTAATCCAGTCATCTACTTTGGGCATTTGGGCTGCTTCCATGTTTTTCCAATTGTAAATAAAGCAGCAATAAACATGGGGGTACAAGTATCTTTTTCAATCAGTATTTTTGTGTCTTTTGGGTAGATACCTAGGAGTGGGATTGCTGGGTCATAGGGAAGCTCCATGTTTAGCAGTTTGAGGAACCTCCAAACAGTTTTCCATAGTGGTTGTACTATTAACTCTCATCATTTTATAAATTGATACTTACCTTATAAATTAATGGCTTACCCACAGATTTTCTGGGCAATACCTACAGGCCTCATTAGTCTGGTTGTATGTAATAGAACAGCAAGTCTACACCTTTGTTATAATTCACGCTACACCTTTTTTATAACTGAATTTTCTGTTGACTATAGATTTGTGCCAGCACATTTCTGGACATTCTGTTGAACCTTCTCAAGAATTCAGAGAAACTGCTTGGTGATCACTGAAAGAAAGATCTAATCTCAGGGCTTACGTGAGTATTTTCTCCTGGGGACTTCTTACAGCATGTGACCTTGCTTAGGGCAGATTCAGTTCTTACTCAAGAAAAATGTTATCTATCCTTGAGTTTATTAGATTTGGGGGTAAGGTTAGCGATATCTTAAGGACACAGTGAAATTCACAAAATATACCACAGTTATTCTCACTTAAAAAATAGACAAGAAAGACTTGTCTTTTTATTGAGCCAACATTTAAAAGAATCTCAGTGTGCAAACCACAAGAATTCTTACTGTGTTTGAACCAAAAACGTCAAGTAGATTTTTTTCATTATCTATTCTTCCAGAATTTAGCCAAAACATTTTAACTCATGAAAAAGCATCTCATAAGTGAAATTTATTTTTTATGAGCCAATCAGTAAATATTTTAGGTAAAATAGATAAGCCTCAAAAAAAAAAAAAAAACACCAAAAAACTCTTGACTATTTTATTAAGTAGTTTCTTCTCGTTGGTTTGATCTCTTTTAAAAATAATCTGAAGGGGGCCCTCCCTGGTGGCGCAGCGGGTTAAAGCACTGCACTGAGAATCTAAAGCCGCTTCCGCATGAGTTCAATTCCCGCCTGCCCCGGAGGTGACCACATGGTGTGGCAGACCTCTCCTGGCCCGCCCGCTGCTCCCCTCAGCAGTGCACTTCGTCGATCTGCCTGTTCTGTTCCCCACTCTATCTCTGGTGAAGCCTCTCACCACCCCTGAGCCTCTGGCCTGTACCCCAGTTCTGTATGCACAAATAAATAAATCTTTAAAAAAAAAAAATAATAATCTGAAGTTTATTTTAACTTGATCTCTTAATTCTCAGTCACAAGCAGATTGAGAATTTTCCTCAACAACTCCTCACCCTTTATAGCCACTCATTCAGTACGCTGTGCTAATTCTGTCTTCCGGATCTCTCCAGTGTGCCCCTCTTGCTAGGCCACTGCCTCAGAGCCTCAGATCAGGCTCTCATCATTTCTTGCCAGGATTTCTGAAGTAACCTAATGATTGATTTTCCTGTCGTCAGTCTTGATCCCCTCCAGTTTAACACTTTCATATTGTCGACAAAGTCATATTTCAGAAAAACTTTAATAAGACCATGCCATTTCCTTGACTTAAAATCCTTCAGTGACTCCTCACTAAGATTCTAGGATAATAAGCCTTACCATGACTTGTTGGGAAGATCAAATAAAGCTTATTTACCCCCCCATCCCCACCCCGAGTATTATCTAGCTCAGAACAGCCCCTCAGTACACGGTGACATTTTCTCTTTGCACATAGAACCCGAGGTAGCAGCAGTGCTCTAGAGTGGACAGTGGCTCTGCCGAGAAGCCAGGCTGTAAGGAGCCGGGGCATGGGAATCTCACCCAAATCTGCAGCTTTGCTTTCTTCTTGAACCCCTTTTAAGGTAGGCACATGTGTAGGCTCTTCTAGCATCCAGTTCCAGCAAGAGAGGTTCTGCCTGACAAACTGTAAGCCAAGCCCGTCTGTGCCTAAACTTTTGTCGCCTAAGAGTAGTGGGCATCTGAGTAAACACACTGGACACTGCCTTTGTGTTTCTCGTTGTGGTTTGTGTTTTCTCTGCAATTTCTTAGTAAAGTCTCTTAAATGAAACTAGACACTTTTCTTCCCTCCTTCTCTCCCCTCCCCCTTACCAGTGAGGCAGGGATGTGTCAGGAAAGAGATGTGGATAAACTGAGTGGGTGAAGCCAGGTCACTCAGAGATGAGATGTGGATGTGGACTCAGCGGAAGCTGCAGCTTTAGCCCTCCTCAGTATTCCCAGGCACATCTGTTCCTCTCATTTCTCAGACAAGGTTTTGGCAAAGCTGGGTATTTATGTAACAATAAAATAGCAAACTAGGTTATACAAGAAAAAACTCTGAATTGAGTTCATATACTACAATTGTTAATTCAGTTTGTTGCTTTCCTTAGTTTTCCCCCTTCTGTTAAAATTTGACATTTGTGCTATAAACACAATGTTCATTGGGACCTTACTGTGAATTAAGTTATTTTAATTTTTTTTCATGCTGACTTAGCTTTTGAGTAGGTAATTTTCTGTACCATATACAATATTGCATTTCAGATTAAAGAACCCAAAATACATAAAAGAATCACTTAGGGTTAAATAAGCCTCTCTACCAGCAGTGGCATTCATGTGTGTGAATAGGTAATTCTTTGAAATTCAAGGCTCACATTATCTGTCTTCTGACAATGCAGCAAACTTAAATCTAGGCAATTATATCTTGTTTAAGTTTTTCCTTTTTATTTTTTGTTTAAGTTTTAAAACAGCTCTTAATCTTTTTGCATTATGAAAAGCAAAATGGAGTTCTGTTGCAGTTTAATTGCCATTTTGATCCAGCATATGTATTAGTGCTTTTCTGAGTGACTTCATTGTCTTGATCTAGCTAGACGTCACTGACTCATCATATTTCCTTACAGGCAGATTACCTTCACCACCTCAGAACAATGTCCTATGTTTTTGTAAATGATTCTTCTCAGACGAATGTCCCCTTGCTACAAGCCTGTATTGACGGAGACTTTAACTATTCCAAGCGGCTTTTGGAAAGTGGCTTTGACCCTAATATTCGTGACAGCAGGGGCAGAACAGGCCTTTACCTTGCAGCAGCCCGCGGGAACGTAGACATCTGCCAGTTGTTGCATAAATTTGGTGCTGATCTTCTGGCCACAGATTATCAAGGAAACACAGCTCTTCATCTCTGTGGCCATGTAGATACTATTCAATTCTTAGTTTCCAATGGACTGAAAATTGATATTTGGTAAGTAACCTGCAGCTTTGAAGTCTGTTTCTTACCATTAGTTTCTCAACCAGGGGTCTGATCAAGGACTCTTGGTTTTGTTTCCTGTGTGGTCAGCTGTAGTAACATGCTCAAAAAGGCACTGAGGATGGGGTAATCTTGTTGGAGAACTAGGGTATAAGGAACTGACTTCTAAATATATGTTGAAGCAGTGTTTAAGTTTTTTTGTGGAAATAGTTGCCAGGTGTTCTAAGACAAGGGGAAAAAAAGAAAAGAACTAACATTTATTGAAAATCTATTATGGGTTGGGTGCTATGTTTACTTATCTTAGCTCATTTAATCCTCAGTATAAATAGCTCTTCAGGAGGTGTTATCTTCATTTTACAGGTGAAATAGTTGAAAGCAAAGGGGTTAAATGGCTTAATAAAGGTTACTAGCTTGTAAGTGCCAAGCTGGAATTTGAACTTATTTCTTCATGATTCCAGTGTATTTGCCTTCCGTCATGTAATGTACCATCCATAAATCTCTGGAGCTCATAGTCCTTTTTGTACTGAACAATAGGAAGAAGTGTGTTTTATCAGTTTGTTTTCGTGATACTTTGTCTCTTGCATTGGAAAATGTCAGATCACCTTTAAAACTGATCCTGATCTTTACATTGCAATTACATATTGCCCTAATTTATCGATGTTATGATGTGCTTTTTCCTCAGATTCTTAGACTTTTTTTTTTTTTTACATGTAAATGTCAAATAAGAAAAAATTAGGAACATTTCTAGGAAGATGCTCTTTTTTATTTTACTATGTATTTTTTCTTTTTCTCTGGAAGGAAAAATTAGGTTAATTCAGAACTTAAATTCCTTCTCAATCATTGGTTCCACGCTGTCTTTTAATTTTGAGTTAACTGGATTCAGCTCAACTGAGATCTACACAAATATCTACTAACAATATAACACAACTCCGATGTTTGTCTTTTTATTTTTATGAATTTTTTTTAGCAACCATCAAGGTGCTACACCATTAGTTCTCGCAAAGCGCAGAGGAGTGAATAAAGATGTCATCCGATTGCTGGAATCTTTGGAAGAACAAGAGGTAAAAGGATTTAACAGAGGAACCCACTCAAAACTGGAGACCATGCAAACAGCAGAGAGTGAGAGGTATTTAAGATATAATATTTGAAGGGTCAAGTCATTTTAAGGATTTGGGTGTTTATGACGTTGGGAGTTCTGTATTCCTTTGCTCTTAAGTGCAGAGCGTTAATGCTTTCTTTGAACTTTATATGTCTCCAGATTACAATTGAGAAGCTGTCTAATAGTACACATGCCCATGTGTACTATTAACCACGGTGCTGGGAAGCCTGCAGTGTAAGAGGAGGTAGTTAAGAACTGAATATGAGGGATGGAAGCAGGAGTTTAGAATTTTAAGTAGGGGGTCACTGAAAAATTGGAATTTCAAAAAAGGAGCAGAAAGATAAGTAAGTCTGAAATTTGAATAATATTAAAAAGACTAATGGTAATTTCAAAGATAGGGAATGGGTGTGATAAAGAAAGTAAAATGGAAGACTATAAATAACTTTCATATGAGTTGGAACAAAGGAAATTTGTGCCCTTGTAAGTAATTTAAGCTAAGATACAGTGGCTGACTGACTGAATCTTAAAAATATCTCGTCACTGCTCATCAAGAAGCAGTTTAGGACACTACTCAGGGAGCCTGCAAAGATGAAAAACCATCTTTCTCTTGTCCTCACTGGCATGGAGGTAAAAGGATGATGGACTTAACCGTAGTCTCCTAAATTTCCAGTGGAGTATGTATTTCAAGGGCCCTCATTGGCTGTTTATCAGTAGCCGACTGACCGGAGCTTGGATTTAGCGTCATTAGCCCACTGAGACCAGCAGCACCATTGTAACAAAACCCTTTTTATTTTACATGGCTCAGTGTTCATCTGGCTCCTCGTCCTGGTGGTTGCTTCCCTCCCTCCTTACGTATGATGATAGTCTTCCTGGGGATCTGTACTTCTACTCTCAAACCCAGTACTTTTTGTGTAGATACCTTTAAGCACTGATTGTGGCCCAGAGAACTTAAATAGAGTTTACTTCTGGAACAGTACATGTTTCTCAAAACTTGCCACCCAGAACTGACAAGTAGATAAACAAGAACTCAAAGATGGATTTACTTTTCCTGTCTCCCATGCACTCAGTCTGTAGTCAGCGCCATGGCATCTTCCTAACACTAAGTTACAGATCATGGTGCTCCAAAATATTGATATTTATCTTCATCTTTCTATAGAATGGTAGTAAATGACTTTAAACTTCTTAACCAGGAAACATATCCATGAATGTGGTTTTGCTTCATGTTTTTCAGACCTTATTTGGTATGTTTGTTAATAGCAATTTCCTTAGCACTTCTTTATCAGAAATACATTTTTGACTACTTTGCCTCAGCTGTAAGAAATAATTGACCATTTGAGAAACTCAATATGCAATATTTACCCCTGCTTCTTTCGTATACCTGCCATTTCAGTAGGTATTTGAAGATTTGTATTACTCAGCCTGAAAAATTATATTATTTATAGCATTGTATAAAGCCAGTTCTTCAAAAACTGGACTGATAACTACTTGTTCTACCTGGTTATTTATCTTTTGCCTGCCTCTTAGTGTCAAGAGAAAAATGCAGCGATTGAAGCTTAAATTATAGTTTTAAGGCGGCATCATTAGTCATTAGGGAAATGCATATTGAAATCACGGTGAACCACAACTTCATTTCCTCTAGGATGGCTATAAAAAAAAAGATGGGCAGTAAAAAATGTTGGTGAAGGTGTGGAGAACTCATATATTGCTGATAGGAATATAAAGTAGTAGAGCTGCTTTGGCAAATAGTCTGGCAGTTCTTCAAAGAGTTGGAATGTTAACAATGGTTTCACTTATAGGTGTATACCAAAGACTGCTAAAAACACAGCCATGCATAAACTTGTTCACAGATGTTCACAGCAAAGTATTCTTTTTTTTTTTTCCTTAAAAGATTTATTTATTTATTTATATATATATACAGGCCAGAGGTGCAGGGGGTGAGAGGATTCACCAGAGACTGAGTGGGGAGCAGAACAGGCAGATTGATGAAGTACACTGCTGAGGGGAGCAGCGGGCTGGTCAGGAGAGGTCTGCCGGTCTGCCGTGCCATGTGGATCTCCTCAGGGGCAGGCGGGGCTCGAACTCATGCTGAATGGCTTTAGCTTCTTGGTGTGGTGCTTTAACCCACTGCACCACCAGGGAGGGCCAGCAATGTTATTCTTAATAGCCCGAAAGTGGGACCTACCCAAAAGTCCATCAACTGATGAATGGATAAATAATGTCAACTATTTATCCAGTGGGATATTCCCATTTCCCCACTACTTCCTGTGTCTTAAATTTAATTTAGTTCCTTTTTACTTTGTTGGTATGGGATGACAAGAACAGCATAGGGAACAGCATGTACAAACCAAATATTACATGTGTACATGTGCACATCATCAGCTTACGTCAGCATTTCCTGGACAGTGGAAAGCACCTCACGGAATACAGTCATTAGAAAATTCCAATTGGCAGTTTGCATGAGCTCATAGAGAATACTCAACTGAAATCCTCTTATATCTAACATCTTTGGGTCAATAAATTTCATGTAAGTTTCCTTAAATTTCCATATTGGTATCGACTCCCATGAAAATTTCTTGTGTTATTCAGAAAATAAACATCTTTTAATATAAAGAAGAAAGTTTGGATGTCAGGCATACTGGCCTTTAGGAAATCAGCCTCTTATGATTAGAGAAGTTCTCTAATACTAATAAAGGCTGAAAGACTTATAATTAATAGTGTCAAAAAGTGAATTAAAGTTGTAAGTTAAAAAATTGTCTATCTTGCATGGTGACCCATACTCTAGAAATTCTTGTATGTTATGTCCACCATCTGTGCCCAGATGGTTGGATGGATATGAAGAGGAGGGGGTTAGATACTTGATGATATGGTTATGGTCACTGTGGCTTTAGTCACACCGTGACTGTATGATATTGGCTATTGGCCCACATTTTGTGACATAATCTGAGTGCTATTCCCTTACAGTTTTGAATTCATCACAATGTGGCTTTTTGCTAAATACTAAAGTCAGATATACTGTTCTCTTTTTGTCACATATTTCTCGATGACAAGGCTCTCAAAACCAGAGTTAATGTTTTTATGATATTTATGCTGGACTTAGTGAGTAGGCAGGAGAGAAATAAACTTACTGTGTAATACTGTACAAGATAAAACCAGTAGAGGGCCCTTCCTGGGGGCGCAGTGGGTTAAAGCACAGCACTAAGAAGCTAAAGCCACTTCGGCAAGCATTCGATCCCTGCCCCGGAGGTGACCACATGGTGTGGCAGACCTCTCCTGACCCACCCGCTGCTCCCCTCAGCAGTGTACTTCGTCGATCTGCCTGCTCTGCTCCCCACTCTGTCTCTGGTGAATATGCTCTCACCACCCCTGCACTTCTGGCTTGTACCCCAGTTCTGTATGCATAAATAAATAAATCTTTAAAAATAAAAAATAAGATAAAACCAGTAGAAGGAAGTGTTTAGAATTCATGACTAGAGGATGACAGTTAAAAGAAGGTATTCTTTCATTGGTCAGATTATTGAACTAAATTAATAAAAATCTCTTTTTAAGATTTACGCACTGCCTACATTTTTTTAGATTTGCCCTCTGCTTATTTTTACTACTATGACTTCTCATAATGAATCTCCATATTGAATTCTTCTAAATTCACAATAGCCAAAATGTATTTTGGTTTAACATCTGATGAAACAACTCATTTGACTGACTTCAAGGCTTCTGCGTGGGATCCTTTTACTAGAAAAGGATTTTTAATTTTGACTCTGCCAGATACTAAACCAAATGAAGATAGACTGTGAGATTGTACATGTATCTTCTACGTGTTGTATAGTAAGGCTGGGCTTTCTAAAAGCAATGCCTATTGCTTCATGTTTTTGAAAGCGATGAAATGTGTTTTGTGTTCTTCCTTTTCTCTGTGCTTCTCTCGCAGTGCCATGGAAAGCCATTCTCTGCTCAATCCCAACCTGCAGCAAGGGGGAGGAGTCCTGTCCAGCTTCCGAACCACATGGCAGGAATTTGTAGAGGATCTGGGTTTCTGGAGGGTGTTGCTCTTAATTTTTGTTATTGCTTTGCTGTCTCTCGGCATTGCCTACTATGTGAGTGGGGTGCTGCCCTTTGTAGAAAACCAGCCAGAACTGGTGCACTAACGGAGCTCGGGAGATGAGGCACATGCTGGCGTCCTGACTTCCAATATTTGTTCCCAGTGTCTCAAAAATTTTCTCTTAGTGCAAGGCAGTGAGGGCTGTACAATTTTTCTTTTTGCATTGTTAAGTATTGTAGTCCTTTTAGAAAAACATCATTGAACTAACTACACACTATAGTTGCGTATACTTCATCCGAAAGCTACCTCTTACTCAACCTGACTTCTTAGGAAACTACACTGAGGAAAGTCTACATCCTGATAAAATATGATAAAAAAAAAAAAAAGGAAAGATAAAGGAAGAGACTAGGAAGTCCTTGCTAGAAACCTTACCCTAACATAGGACCAACTACAGTGAAGTGTTTAAAAGATTTTACTATAATGTTAATTTTGGTTAGTCGTGTTATTTTTGTTTAATTTTGCAAGAGCCCCTTTTATCTTTTTTCTTGCACTGTCTGGGAATGGAAAAGAGAATGAAACATTCAGCTTAAAACTTGAAGTGATTTTTTTTCAGATCCTTGTAGTAAATCAGTATTGTCAGAAAATGTTTGGTTTGTTTTAATAGTTTTAAGTCTAGTCACAAGCCAAATAGAATTTTTGAAGATGAGCTGTATTTTTTTCAAAAATAATTGATTTGATCTTATATTTATTTGTTTTTAGGATAATTTTGTTTTTTTTTTTTTGTAAACTGCTCTGGTTGTTGCTAATACCTGTAGAAAATAAACAGTCTGAACAATTAATTTTGTTCACTATTCAGTTTCTCTAGTGTAGTCATCAAAAATACAATCAAACATTTTCTACTCAGTAGTTAGCAAGGAAAAATAATCCTGATATTTAACTGTCATTGTAATTGTATAGTGTTATTATTGTGGTAAAAATTTCAGTTCTATAAGCTAGCTGTGTTGTCACGATTGTACTATAGCTCATAATTATTTCATTTTATGTGCATTCTGGTTAGGAGCCATGTTAAAACTGCCCTACCACCTCCATCTGTGTCTTTAATTCTCTGGTGGCAAGAGTGGCTGAACTAACAGCATTGAACACCATTATGCTATATGTCATAAACTATGAATGATGATATTGTGAATTTGAAATCTGTCCCCCAAAGTATATTGTAACTTTCAGCAATGTGTTTGAAGATCTCTTTTGTTAATGATTCTGTTATGTATAAAACATATTCCTGAATTATTAAAAAAGAATATAAAGACTTGATAATTATTCATTAGTTATAATCAGAAAGTTGTAGTGAAAGTAACATTTTCATTAAACTACTGCTAATTGAATTGTTGCTAGAATTAGAGATTATACTTTAGAACAGAATTGGTATTTCTGTGTCTCTTTTTGCTTCTTGATATTTTCTCTTTTGTATTTATCTATCTAGGATGTGCTTTATCCTCTCAAAAATTTCTGATTTATCTGGCTGCTTCAGGATCATCTCACAGTCTTACTTTTAGCTTAGATACAAACAAAATAAATTGCATTTTATGGAAATATAGAAAAAATGGTGGACTTTAAAATGAAGAACAGTAGAACTCAAAATCAGAGTATATTCAGAATAAAAGCTTTGGAGTTAGTTTTACATTTGTTTGTAAATCTAAACAAATATGCAGAATTGGTTAACATGTGGAACATGTCGCATTTTTTAAAGGTTAACGTTTTAAGTGCTGATTTCTTTGTATTTCTCTACATTCAGCATTCAGCAGTATTTATCAATAAATGTCTTTATATCTTTTAATCACAATCTGTATTCTTAAGTGTTTTTTTTTTCTTTTTACTTAAGGGTTTTGCTTTTTTTAATGGGTTACAGTTGGCTATTTAAAGAAATGAACTTCTTTTCAAATCTGATGTGCTAAGTATATCAGTATCCCTGTCTTCTAAATGCTCTGAAGTTAATTTGGGTGAATGATGGATTTCAGAATAATAATAACTGTCAAGATTAAGCATTCCCAGGCGCTCCCTGGTGGCACAGCAGGTTAAAGCACAGCACTAAGAAGCTAAAGGCACTTCAGCATGAGTTCAATCCCCACCTGCCCAGGAGGTGACCCACATGGCGCTGCAGACCTCTCCTGACCCGCCCATTGTTCCCCTCAGCATGTACTTCGTTAGTCTGCCTGTTCTGCTCCCCACTCTGTCTCTGGTGAATCCTCTCACCGCCCCTGCACCTCTGGCTTATACCCCAGATCTGTATGCATAAATAAATAAATCGTTAAAAAAAAAGATTAAGCATTCCCTGTTACACAAGTCCATCCCCCAACGCATACACGACACTTCCAGTTTGTAAGATGAGTAAACTGATACAGAGACGTTCAGTAATTTGTTGAAGGTCATCAATACTTTTTCTTTCCAGATTAACTAGATTTTTGCCTTTCACATGTTTACTCTAACAGGATGCTTTGTGAACTGTGGCAAGTAACTTAAACTGTAGGAAATTTACTGATTTATGGAACTGGAATCCAGACATGGGGTAGGCCCTAAATCTAAATTTAGTTCAGTTCTCTTGTGCCTGTGGCTCTGCACTCATGTTGGTTTCATCCTCTAGCGGATCCTGAGGTAAATCCACAACTTTCAAGCCTCACCTCCGTTTGTAATGCTACAGTGGAAAAGACAAAGACTATCTTCTTCTCAGAAACCCCATCAGACTTCTTCGCAGTTTCTTGGCAGAGCAGACCCTATTCTCAGAACAGCTAATGTTTTGTGCTGTTTGATTAGGTCCAGCAGGGATGTGGCTGGTCAAATTTATATGACTAACTTGGTAGAAGGATTATGATTGGTTTGGACCCATGGCTGGAGAGGTGACTGGAGATATTGCCAGCAGTCAAGGGGCAGGGGCCATCAGTGTTTTATATCTCTCATACATGGGATGGTTTAGCACAACAGATTGATCAACATCCCACATCATGCTTGAGTTTTCTGCTGCTGAACATTATTATGGGCTAATAAAATAAACCTTTTCAGGTATCTGAGCTTAAGTCCAACTTCATTTTCCATGTAAGTTAAAGTATTTTAATACAGTCTTAATATACCCTGAGTTTTCCAAGAATACAACCATGAGATATTTGAGGGAAGATTCCACCTTTTTTGTTGTTGTTCCAAATTTCAACAAGAATTGTACCTATTTGAACAGCTCTTGTTATTGGCAACAGTGCAGCTCTTGTTAATCGAGTACTAGCATAATTATACAGGCATGGGTGACTTCTGGTGTGTTTGTACCTGAGCATTTAAATATTAAAATACATGTTTTACCAGAGTCGCTTTGACATGATGGGCACCAAGTCATTTTGCTAATTTCAACAATTGATGCTCTCTTACCTGGGACCTAAACTACACCTATTTAGTCATCTTGGTGCACCTTTTCCAGATAACCTGTCTTGGAGGGTACACCAGAAACTAGCATTTTTCAGTGTTAGACACTGGGGTGAGGGGGAGTCCAGCATCCAGTCAGCCCCCTTTTGCAACTCAGGCTGAAACAGTTCCAGGTGTACTAGGTAAAGTTGAATTTTGGAATTAAGCCCATTCCTCTGTACCCTGAAGTGGATTTGAAACAGTTGTTTGGCCTAGCTGTGGGTCCCATCTTCACTTGTCTCAGCCGAGATAGTCCAGGATTCTGTATGTCTTTGCACTTTTCACATTGCCAGTGGAGAACACCACAGCCCAAGACACGGGTCCACATTCATGGGGCCACACTTGTTCAATGTCAAGGACTGCAGCCTGGAGTTTCTTGCTGCCTAATATTCATGAAAAATGTTAACTGGTAATAATAGAGTATTGCTTCAAAGATGTTTTGGATCAACACCTCCAAACTTTCTGCTTGATGAAAACGTAATGTCCGTGCTGTCCAGTGCATTAGCTGTTTATCACGTGTGGTAGTTTAAATAGATTGAGATACAAAATTTAGACTTTCAGCTGGATGTTCAAGTAGTACAATTATCAGAGCCTAAGACTCAAGTCCATTTTACATTTTTTTAAAAGATTTAATTTATGCATATAGAACTGGGGTACAGGCCAGATGTGCAAGTGCGGCAAGAGAATTCACCAGAAACAGTGGGGAGCAGAACAGGCAGATTGACAAAGTACACTGCTGAGGGGAGCAGCGGGCAAGGCAGGAGAGGTCTGCTGTGCCGTGTGTGTCACCTCCCTGGCCAGGGATCGAACTCACACTGAAGTGGCCATGGCTTGGCTTTGAGTGCAGAGCTCCAACCCACTGCACCACCAGGGAGGACCCCCATTTTACTTTTCAAAATAAAGCTAGCTATGTTTCTACCACTCAGTGGCCATAAGAGGCTACTGAATTGAACATAGATACAGAACTTTTCCATTCTTGCAGAGAAAGCACTGAAAAGCACTGTCCTAAAACCTTAGACTGATGTCAGGTAAGTGTTGAGCTGTATTGGTCTGTATTAGCACAGCGACCACCCTAACTAGTTTTACTGAATTCTTTGCTATTCAATGATCACACTATACATTTTTCATTAACTCTTAATCTTCACAAGTTGCTGGTGTCAAGGTACACAAAGATAGACTACCTTGGCCTGTCTTCTGTGTACTTCAACAGTTAACCAACACCCTGCCCTGCTCGCTAAGCTGGTCCTATCACAGCCTAGGGTATGCTGCTCTGTGACCCACTCTCTTCGTTTCTGAATAGGAGAATCACCACAACCCTATCATAGCCTCTTAAACATTTTAAGTGAGCAATCTCATTTCTTGAAAAACAATTCCTGTCACCTAATACCTTGTTTTATAAAGTACCTTACACCATGGAAATGTTTTGAGAAAACTGAGCAGGGCCCCAGAGCTCCCTCGTAGACCTGCTGTCACCGTATCTGCACTGATTAATCACAATCCTTTTGCTTATTGGAACTGCTATTCAGTCCCTCTGCCTGCTGCATACTTTTAATTCAAGGCAGGAAATTGATGATTGCAGGAACATTTTAAATGTAAACCCGGGAGCAATAAAATGCCCTGCTTGATAAACTTAGCGAGGCCATTTACTGCCTAGTGTGTCGGAGATGTCTTGTGGGTATTGATTGAACTTGTCCACATGCTTTTCATTGTGCCCCTTGCCACATCTTTAAAGCATTCTAAAACAGCATTCTGTGAAAATAGAATCACACTCAAAATCATTGCATCTGCTTAGGAGTGTTCAATGGCTGCTTCTCTCCCCTACTTCCTAAAGACATTTGATTTGCTTTTAATCTGGGTTATTTTTTTTTGTCTGAATTAGTTTAAAAAACAAGTTAGTATTAAGTGATGACCTAGAATAATTCGAGCTTGAAATATACAATAGTAAACACACT